AATGACATTTAATTTTTGTATTTCAGTGCCGTAACAATTCATTCAAAGATCAATGAATTTACTCATGACATTTTCTGAATGTGACCACAACCCTCTGAGTAATTCTTCTAAACCTCAGATGAATCACCCTGTATAATTGAACCGTAGAAAGGTCTTGATATCCTTTGACCTATTCACTTTCCATTGTGATAGAAAAAAAATACGTTGAGTTCAGACTTGGAAGACACTGTATAGACTATACTCAGAATTAAAATGCATCATGCGTACTCTGTATTGTGTAATAAACTTTTGTATACTGGGTGTTGTACCTACTTTGCAAGATTGGTGACATTGACTTTTATTGACAATACGTGATTGAATTCAGCTATAAAAATTGAAACATATTTTATTAGGCATTCAGATCCCAGTGCATTAGTTTTACACATGTCTCAATTATCATAGTTTGATGCAATCGCTAAGGAATTCTCACAAAATTCTAGAAGCATAATGGGCAACATATGATTGAAGTGAATAATTTTTCAATACACATATATTTTTGATTTATTAATCCACTTTCATCATGAAATAATTTGGTTAATCGCGATTTTTATAGGTATAGGTAACACAAAATTCGTCCATTTTAATACCAAAATTAGATCTAGAATTGACGTTTCAATTACTGACTGATAAAGATGTACAGGGTGGCCAACTAAGAATCCAGAGTTCGATACCTCTGTTGTCTTGAGAAATACAAAAAAAAGTTTCGCATTCAAATTGAAGTGATAACCGAGCTTCACATTTCGAAATTTATTTGAAATACACAGGGTATTCCGTAAGGTCACAGCACATCAAAGCTATGTTTTTTTCATTGGAACACCCTATATTTTATTCCATTTTTGAATTCTCCCTGAAGATCTGATTTCAACGACGTATCATACTTAGGGTCTAGCAGTGAAAGTTACTGACATATAGGGTGTGCAAAATCGAGATTTTCCAAGTTCAGGATTTTTTTCTGTTGAAACTGTTCACCATTCGTCAAAACGGTTTACATGTCCCTATCTCAACTTTTCACTCACTATCAATTGGTGTTCAATTGACATTCAATTGAAACAAATTATAAATTTTGATTTTTTGACCACCTTGTATCAATTTCAATTGAACACCAATTGATAGTGAGTGAAAAGTTGAGATGGGGACATGTAAACCATTTTGATGAATAATGAACAGTTTCGACAGAAAAAAATCCTGAACTTGGAAAATCTCGATTTTGCACACCCTATATGTCAGTAACTTTCACTGCTAGACCCTAAGTATGATGGGTCGTTGAAATCACATCTTCAGGGAGAATTCAAAAATGAAATAAAATATAGGGTGTTTCAATGAAAAAAACATAGCTTTGATGTGCTGTGACCTTCCGGAACACCCTGTGTATTTCAAAGAAATTTTGAAATGTGCAGCTCGGTTATTACTTCAATTTTGATACACGATTTTTTTTTGTATCTCTCAAGACAACAGAGAAATCGAACTCTGGAGTCTTAGTTGGCCACCCTGTACTATCACTGAGGGAAAAAATTTGCAGCCGTTACTAAAAGATTAGTAACTACAGAAAAAATTTTTAGTACGATAGGGGACAGCAAGCATTAGTTGTTGCCATAACTAATTCTGTTTTTCTGGAAACGCCTATTTGCCTCAAATGAAAAGTTTAGTTGACTCATCTACGACGTTGTTGTGATAACTAATAAGCCTTTTTAAGGAATAATACCAAGTTTTATTTGCCGCAATCAAGATGCATAGTTATGACAATTAGATTGTTAGTACTGTTTCAATATATGTTTGTTATCACAACAAATTATCCCAGTTGGGGCAATTACTCATTTCGTCTGACGTTAATAGTGAGTGTGTTGTTGCAAATTAAATATTTAATTGTGACTGAAATGGAACCTAGTTACTATTAAAAGTGATTTAGTAACGTTTGAAATATAATTTAGTTATTCTGACAACATAGTAGTTTTATATCAATTAAAATCAAGGCCCCATTCTGATAATAACAGTTTGTATGCCATTTTCCTTCCAATTTCCAATGGAATCGTGAACAGGAATACACCACACACCGTGAGTGCCACAGGCCACAGCTCTGCAAAAAGAGAGGGAATTATAAATATACACCGTGTACACGTGACGTCGGTTGGACGTTTCTCACCGTAAACTGAACTGAATTGTGAATAGGTACCTAAACCTGATAACTAGTGACGCACAGATAACGATGGTAAACTGCGAATTATTATTTTGCCAACCAGATGCCAAATGGCTCAGCGCGAAGTGCAAAAAAACAAAAAACAGTGATTTGAAAACACACACAGCAGTGAACCAGGAAGAACACGACGCTCCCGGCTAGACACTAGACAATTATTTTATTTATTTTGTCTAAGCTCGACGACCGTGCGATCTATCCACTATTGAGGTACAATTTCAAATGATGAAACAGAAAACAAACAGATGCAAGATGCAATTTTTGCCCCGAAGAGACGCGAGGCGGTCCCGAACGACGCGGTTCAACTAAAATTATTTAGTTATGGCTAAACAATTTCTGCTATGAATAATAATAAACCTTTTACGATGAATGTGTCATCAGTTGTGGCAAATAGTCAGATGTTGTTAGTAACCCCAGAATGAGGTTTTTTAACCCCAATATGAAATTTTAATTGACTGAATAGACAACACTGTAATAATTCTGTCACAAATAGTATTTTTATTGATGACAAATAATTGGCGAAAAATAGAAAAGTCATTTGTAGGAAATAAGGATACGTTGTCATTGTTAATAAAATTCCAAATATTTTTAATTATCGGTACTAAAAAAATACCAACTAGAAGTTTTAATTAACCAGTTTTTCTCAGTGTAGGTCTTCAAGAATAAACAACATTGTTATGGTTGGTTTAACATTAATTGAGGCTTTTCAAGCCAGTTCAATACTATTGATCCAAGCATATAGCTCATTTTAGAACTATATTTTTCGACGTTTGTAGAAGAAATTTTGTTTTTAAAATCGTACGCGCGATACTTTGGTGATCTCGACTGTTCTTTTAACTTGGGTGCGCCCCGTTAAAAAACAGTTCTCGAGTTCAAAAATAACTCTTTTTGACAATAAAAGGCAATTTGGTATACTTGCTACCCACCAAATGTCAAAGTCCGAACTGGAAGGATTCAGAAGTTAAAGCACTGGCCTATTTCGTGCAGTTCTCCTATATTAAAGAATTTGCTAGTCAGCATCTGAAACATTTATCTGAATCATATCTACTAAAATTAATCACGAACAATTTATTATGAAAGCTATTGCGTGTTGAATTGGTAGATACACATTTTAGTCAATTTTCGGTACCTCGAAATTGTTTGAACGTTATAGGCTTTTAATAAGATTGCAGTTAGTAGCTACGTACTTGGTTGTGACAGTTGACAAATCACAATGTTACGAGGTTGCAATAGTTTTATGCAATATATAGAATCACAATTTTACATCATCAGTATTAGCGTACCCATTCTTCAGAGTTATCTGTTGGCACTTGATGGCAGACCCCTATACAATTCAGTCATTCGGCATAGGAATCTCATAACATGTAGGAAGAATGGGAAGTTTTTATGACAATTATAGCATTTCTGATTTGTATTACATTGATGGTACCAGCACGTGTTTCCATAAACCATGTGATTATTTCTAAAATGTGCATCTTTGAGTGCATCATATGTTACCTAACATAAATATAGTGCACCAGTATCTAGGTCAAAATGTGTGTTTAGTTGACAAAAAACAGTAACATCCGTATTATAAGAAGTTGATTTTTCATGCTTCAGAATCCATACATGCACAAGTTGTTCCAGGTCCAACTTATCTGAATTCGATAGTCAATAAAACTTCTGAGTATTTAGGTAATATAAAAAATGAATCATAATGATTACAGCAGTTGTTCAAAATGTAATCAATATCTTTCAATATCTACATATCAACATCTTATGACAACTGACAAATGAATCAATCATTTGCAGAAGTTAAATTCTTTCAAATCGCTCGATTCCAATAAACCTCTTTTATTCAGCTGAACTAATATTTTTCTAGTTTTCAGGAACTGAAAATAGTTATTTAAAATGTGGTAGCAATATAATCCGATCAATGAATGACCCAAAGGTGGGTGGAGACTATAGAGTGCTTGAACAGGGACCTAAGCAACTTCTTCTGTGCGAGGTGTTTGGATGATCGAAGGTTTAGACTGTGAACATACTTGAAAGTCCTGACTGAGATGTTTATATATTTTCTCTGGTCTCTGGTGTGCCTACTATTAGTACTATTCAATTGTTTCGTCAGAAATTTCAGAATGCGTTTAGAATCTTATTATGAAGTTGAACTAGACTTTTAAGGATGCGTTTTCCTTCTTTTGGGACTGGAAGAGTCCCGTTGATGATGCACGAATTCAATAACAGCTGAATAGAAGCATTTAGAGACAGGACGCAAAAGATACAGGACATAATCAGGACGGTAATGAGATAAGAATTAAATTTCAACCAAACTGAATCGTTTATTGAATGAACACAAAGAAAATTCAGATAACACTTTCATTTCATTTCATTTTCAATATCGGATGGTAGATCATCTTCACTTGAAAAAATGTCCACTCAAAGAACTTAATGATGGTTGTGGATATCTTCTGGTTGTTATCTTCCTTTCCTATGATTTTAAATTTATTGCAAAGATATTCATTCTCTTCAAAATTTTTTTTTAAACAAACTGTCACTGACAAGCTATTGGATTTTTTTATAGGCTCCCTGAAAATTTGTTAAACGCAGTGACTACTACACATATATTGAAATAATATTCATATTTTTAGTTTGTAGAAACGAGGCGAGAAAATCCCAAATAATCAAGTAAAATGAATGTAACACCTCCTTGATTAACCTACAGACAGTATTCATATTAAGGTACCAACTTCTCGTACATGAAAATTCCAATCGATTTCATTTATTGTTTCAGATTCACACACATATGAGTTTAGAAGAAATAAGGAATACATTCAGGGTTGATTCACATGAATTCGGTAAGTACCTACCTTTTATTTAGATCTTTCACTACAATCTAATATCAAACGGAGTAGATGTTATGTTATACTGGGTGCCCCAACGAAACCTATCGATCACAACTATCTCATGAAAATCCCCATTATGAAAAAAATTGGAATCAATCAATCAATCAATCAATCATGCTTTATTGTCCAAGAAGTAATTCTTATTGACAAAGTAAGTGTAATTTTATAAAGTCAGAAATATTAAAATATAAAATTATATGAAATATAATGAAAAATCATTATAGAGTTAAAACATGTGTACCTAAACGAATATAAATATAAATATAAAAATAAATAAAACATTACAGAAAATATATCAAACATTACAGATAAATAAATAAATAAATCAACAATATTAGTAACGGCATTCTGTGAACAGTTATAGAATGGAATTTATTTGAAATTTTCAGATTGGTAATTTCTAAAAATTTTGATAGTGTGCGTTTATTTGTGTAAAGGTACTAAATTTTTCAAGTAAAAGGTCATAGTTCAGAACGAAGTAGTATTCGAATAAAAAAGTTTCCTATACGTTTCTCTCCTTTCAAAATTATTCGCCATTGAAGGTAAACATTGGAATAGAATTTGGTCACATCAAAACTGGATAAGAATGTATGAAACTGACTGATTTGGTTCGAATTTCTCTAGCAGAGCAGAAACGGTCTGGCACTTATAAATCTCGTATAAACCCTAAGTTTTTAAACAGTTGTTTTTATTTAGTTCAAACTGGTCACATGCTCCAAACACTGGTGTTCCAAAAGAATTCCTTACTTGCTATATATGTACCTATCCGTCTTTGTGAAACAGATATGACTGATAGACGAGCAAAAATTGCTCCTCCACCAGTATTTGAAAGGGTTATATTGAATTCCTTAGACTATGTTTCTTGTTCGAAAAATGTCGCTATACTTTTGGAGTCGGAAACTTGCATAATATGAATGAAATAATCATAAACGGAATCGATAGTTGAGGTATTTGGTTCACACTATATCTGGGAAAAGAGGTGATTTAAATTAGTTCCTCCACCAGAATTTGAAATGCATTAGTAGTATACTTCAGACCGTGTTTTTCGCTAAAAAATTGCCGCTGTACGTATAAAGTTATAAATTCTGCATGTTATGAATGAATTTAACGTGAACGAAATCGATGGTGTAAGTATTTAGTTCACATTGAATCTGAGAAAAGAAGTGTATTTTATTGGTTTCACAAAAATTTCAAACAAAGGCCTTTTTCGAAATACAGCTTCTATAGAAAAACAAATTCCCCAACGAGAAAATGTAGGTATAGGCATAGCTGAATTTACTATAACCCCTTATCCCTTTCTTTCTCTTTTCTCAGAAATGAGAAATCAACATACTCAACCAAAATAACCACCAAGATCATATTGTATACGAACATTCTCATTTATAAATCTTCTGAAAAAATATTATCATTATTAAATCTATTCGAAAATTGTCAATTATTTTTCGACGAACCACGCGTATAGGATTGATTCGATTCTTTAGTGAATTGTGAAGTTCTTGAGCATAGCACTAACTCATAAGATTGATCTTTGGTAGAAGTCCATCTTGCTCAAAGTGGAGTGACATTTTTCAAAGGAAGAAAGGAATGCTAGTCTAAGTCATCTCCACAAATTCTAATGGTGTTGTGACACAATCATGAGGGACATGTTTCGGTCTTGTAAAAGACCATCTTCAGCATAATTGAAAGCTCTACAATACAAAAAGATTGATGTGAAAATATTACATAATTTGTTCTAGACTTACTCTGAGTTGAAAACATGTGATGCTACTAATTCTGAAATTGTTGTCAATGCCCATAGTCGAAAAATCGAGTTTATTAATGAAAAACGGGTTCTCAATAAATGAAGGGCCCCGTGACTCGAGAGCGCATACCATTCATCTCATTGAAATTTCATATCCCAAAATGATATATCAAGGGTAATTGTCAAAAGGTTTTGTTTCTGACAACACCATGAATTAACGTTTTTTTTTTTTAAAGGGGTTCCCCGTGCCCTTATGAAAGCGCTACTGAAAGAAAATATCAATAAAATTAATGGGGCAAACAGCCAGCACGTGTTTGAATCTAAACTGATGTGGTTAGAAAACACTGAGAATAATGTCAAATAGTGAAGTAGACAAGACGTTGACAAAAGTGAAAGTCAATGTCAAGGGACAAAACATGAAATTCTGACAATGAGCATATATAACAATAACCATTGACTATGAATATACGACGGAATAAAAGTTGAGACCAACAGCGATTAAAATCCAAAGCATTAAAATATGTAATACAGTCAAAATGTGTTTGTTCATCAAGAGACAAGACAGAATTATTATTTGAGGAAGAGTTAATTTCGAAAATTCCAGAATTGTTGCCAAGTCCATATTTATGTTGTCAACATTCCTTCCTCGTTCGATTCTGATTTGTCTGGCTGGTATTCGAGCACTGGAAGAGAAGGCGGTATGGAGGGTACTATCATCCGCGAAGCTGTGTACTGGTCATGAAGTTGCTTCCAACAAATCGTTGATATGGAGTAAAAATAGTGTTGGTGCTAGAATTGATCCTTGCGGAACACCAGCATTTATGATAAGAGAGTCAGATGAAATTACGTCGACTACTACATGGAGAGACCTGTTTGAGAGAAAACTAGCTAGCAGAGAACATAGCTAGGGAGGCAAGCCATAAGATGGAAGCTTGGCGAGGAGTCCGTGGTGCCAGACTCGATCGAATGCCTTAGAGATATCAAGTGCCACTGCTAAGGTTTCACCATATTTTTCAATAGATTGCTGCCATATATGTGAGACGTAAGCGAGCAGGTCACCAGTTGATCTCTGATGACGGAAGCCATATTGCCTATCGTTGATAATGCATGAATGTTCCAGGTATTTCATGAGCTCGATGTTGATAGCTTTCTCCATGATCTTTGAAATCATAGATAGCAGTCCGATCGGTCTGTAGTAGCTAGGTAGGGTCTTTCTGCCTTTTTTAGGAACTGGTTGTGCTCCTGCAATTTTCCAGTTGGACGGGAATATCACCAATTTTTAAGAGTAGTTGAACAATAACTTGCAGAGAACAGGTGTCAGTTCGAGAACACATTTCTTGAGAACAATCGGTGGGATTCCGTCGGAGCCATAAGCTTTGTTGGTGTTGAGACCCAATGAAATCTTCCTTATAGTACGTTGGCGAAAGGTGATCTCGGGCATATGACTGTCAATTAGCGCTATGTTTGGAGGTTGTTTTCCCGATGAATCCAGAGTGGAATTTCCAGCAAATAAATGAGCAAAAATGTTGGCTTTCTCCTGGGCAGTTGTGGCTAGTGTTCCATCTCCCTTGGTTAGAGGAGGAAACGAGCTGGAAGTGAAGTTTCTTCCTACAGCTTTGGCAAAGAACCAAAATGAACCGGGTCCGTTAGGACATTCAACATGTTCTGATCTTATTTTGGCATTATGAGCATCCTTTGATGATCGAATTGTCTCATTGCATATGCCTCTAGCCTCGACATATTCTGCTCTAGTCTCAGGGCCTGGATTTTTTGCCATCGATGGAATGCTGCCTGTTTGGAAGCGACAGCTCTAGAGCAGTTTCTACTGAACCAGGCTTAATCGGAAGATGTTCTCCTTGCAGAGTTTGGTATGTGGGTTTGCATCACCAACATGATGATTGCAGAAATTATCTCAGCACATCGTGTTGGATCTGCTGAGGAGGAACAAACTCTCTTCCATGGAAATGCTGAAAAAACATACGACGACCTTCTCAGTCGGCCGAATTGTAATGCCACATGAGACGGGTAGGAATTGTGGTGCTGGATGGTACATGGAAAGAGCAGGTTGTGGAGATGAGGGTGTGGTCAGAGTTTCCAAGTGGGGCACAAACTTCTATTCTATATGGATCAGGATTGCTGGTGAGAAGATACCTAATATAGTGCATTTCTGATGACCATTTTTTGATCAATGATTATAAAAGTCAATGGAAGTTGAGTTTTAACGAATGATCGTAGATTTCAAAACATATATAAATACTATTTGATTAGTTTCCGCAGACTGATCATAAACTGCTCAAGCCAGTTATATCAAGCGAGTATTTGTAAACCGTTAGAAAACATGTTAATTGTTGTCGATTAGCATTCAGGGTTTATATACTTATGATATTACGTAACAATAACAAGAAAATATTTCTTAACGGGCCCAGTTATTCAATAAATTATCACTATTATTAGTCACTATTGTTTTCAGCTGTGATTATTGCAATTACCGGCACTGATTTCTCATAAGGTCAACTGAAAATTGACATTTCATAGTTCTATTCATTTGAATATGATTAATCGAATCTATGTGGATTATTTGAAGGGAACTGCATGCACACCTTTGTCTCGAACGTACTTCATAAAATTGATTTTCTTTCATGGAATTGATTTTTCTGATTAGTTTGAAGTGTGTTAATTCATACGAGTCAATATACGGGGTGTCCCAACGAAAACGAAACGGATTGAATAACTCCCTAGAGCATGTTTGTTCGAAAAAATATATTTTCATCATATCTCCAACTCTCACATGTTATTTCCCTGGCCAATAGAATTTGGATAGAAAAGGTACCATTATCTAGAAGGTAAAAGGATTGTACACACTAGCGTTTCCACACTCTTTAAAGGGCGTGAAATGATGCAGGTGAATTCTAGAACACATGTCTATATAAAGAAAAAGTCTTATTTTGATCCCAACAATATGTCCTTGAAATATCTACATCGACTTCTGAATCACCCGAGAGAACATTATAAGGGAATCATATATGGAATTATACTACAAAAACCACGAGCAGGTCGTGAATAAAGTATAGATTTCACTATCTACTCACAATGATACGTATTTTTCTTGGCTCGTGGCATAATCAACTATTATTGATGATATTGATATTATGTAATATTCGAAATGTAGAAAATGATATGTCATGCATTTTCTCAATGAAATTAATCATTA